TTGGGTGGTGCCCTCACAAGACCACACTGTCTCGCCATCCACAAATAGCTGGGCAGGGCTTCGGTATGTGTTGACAAGAGTTGTCGCCAGCTCAGGACACAGGCATTGGACATTGCGCAGGCATACGTCCCGGTTGATGCGATTAAATGCATTGGAAGCGTCGGCAAACAAGGCACCCTCTGTTGCCTCGTCGGCGAAGGCAGTGCGCATGGCGTGTATGGCTGCTTCGATGCCTCCTTCCTGGCCTGCGCACAGCTGGGTGCAACCGGTCGCGGCTTCAACTGCAGGCCCGGTGATGTAGAGAATGGCTTTTCCAACTATCCTTCGAACGACCTCACCGATCCCAATGGGTCTGACGCCTGGCTGCTTGTCGAGCGCCATGAGTCGGCACGCCACATAGGCTTCCAGTGCAGCCGGGTCCACCGCGGAGGTTGCGAGTCTTCTTGCACATGATGCTACGGCATCGCAGAGCTGGTCTGAGTTTTGGCCGAAAGCTGAGCACATCCGTCGCAACCCAGATGCGTCCATGCCTGATGGGCCAGCAGCTCCTTCTGTCTGCAGGGCAGCCTTTCGGATCATAGTTCGATCCAGGGCAGCGAACATAATGTGGTGAGGTGTGGGGGGCAGTGGTCCGTCCATCACAGCTGACAGGTCGACTGGCTGAGCGGCAGGATGTTTGTCCTTTAGGATGTCACGGACAGTTTGATTGCCAACTTTATCATCCAGACGCATGGGGCCACTGTCGGGTGTCTCTTTCAGCATGCGCATAGCTGCACCAGTCTTGCCCGTGTGTACTAGGTTGGCGAATCTTCGAGCATCGTCCTCTGATTGTTTGCTGGACTTTGACCCCTTTGTGGCCGCCACTAGCTGCCGTTGAATTGTTCTGGCTTCCATCATCAGTGCATCAATGTCGCCTTCTTCCCAGAGGGTGAGTCGTCTTCGGAGGCATTCGACATGTGCTTGTCGGTCGAGGACTCGATGTGGTTGCTGCAGGGTTAACTGTGTGACTGTCATGGCTGCTTTCAACGCTAATCCTTCACCTGCTGCCTTGTCACCGAATATCTTGTAGTACAGAGTGAGTGTGCGGACAAACCGCGAGCCAACGGATCCTGAGGGCACTGGAAAGAGGTTGGGCCGAAAGTGGACTGTCTCGAGATCAGCGGGAAGAAGATGACGACATCCACTAATTTAGTATCTGTGCACACGAATCTGCTGTGTGTGTGACTCTGTGTGTCAGCTATGATATCATCTGCTGTGGTTCCATGCCTAGCACGTACGTCTGAACCATCCTGCAATGTTCTGTCCCCGGGGAAAATTGCGGTAAAAAATCGCAAAAAACGCGGGGAAAAACGCGGCATAATATAGCATAATTTGCGGTGAATTTGCGGTAAATATGCGGTGAATAATATTGATGTGAGGCAATTTTCAGTGAGTATGTAGTGAAATCAATCAGTTACAAGTCTCTGGTGTAAGCACTCGTCATATTGGAGTAAAAAGCCGCCACGATGAGACGTTGCTGACCGAACAGTGCACTGTGTGTACGTGTAGTGCAACAAAAAGTAAAAAAAACGCGGGAAAATCGCGGAAAACACGGTCTTTTAAAAATCGCAAAAAAACGCGGAAAAAAACGCGGCCGCGGAATTGCAATTTTCCCCGGGGACAGAATGTTTGAAAGACGTAGGTTGAGTGATCGCTCCGCGAAACATACTTTTTGAAAGTCTCTTCATAGTATATCTTCCACCATTGAAATTTCGAATTTCTTGCTGAGAGAGGTGGCTTGCAACCTCGATATGGCTTGTTCTAGGCATGCTTTGGAGCCATCTCCTGTTGAAGTAGTGGCGGGGATCTTCCCTGCAACTGCTACAACAAAAAATGATTCGATCTGAGAAAGGGTGAGACCGCGAATCTCGGTTGAATATGGAGTATTTCAAGCCTTTTCACGACGAAGATGGAGTTCTTTTTGGAGATGGACGTCGCGGCGAAGGACATGGTGTCCGACTTCTGGCATCTGGTGAAGCCAGGGATCATTTGTCCAGTCAAGTCGGCAGCCTAACCGTCGGTAAGCTTGTGTTTGGGTCCCGTTCTGCTCGATGTGGTAGATCACAAACAATTTGATATCGCACAAATTGATCTCAGCATCGTGCGTACGGTATTTTATATTCAGAAAATCCCAAAGTGTCTCTGTGTGGCCGTCCTATGCCACGAGAAACTCCAATCAGGCTCCTATGTCCTCTGCTTTCATGATTGAATGTCCACTTCGTTTGAACAACGAACACAACAATCGAGGACGGCTTTGCTATGAAAAATGCAGCTATACTGGAGCTGGAAAAAAGAAGAAAAAACCCTGTTCAGGATGGACTCGAGTACACGTGTAATAGCTGGCCGGTTTAGCCATACACGACTCATACATTACTCACGAGCGACTCACGGAAAGGGTAATAACATGCAGATACAAAATACACAAGGAGAGAAAAAATGTAACTAACTGCCCATCTTGGGGTTTGAATCTCGGAATCTGTATCCACATAAGCTCTACGAATAAAATAATACTCTTTTACTGCGAAAAATATACTTTCTATTAAAATGCAACTCCTACACACGCATCCTCTCCCAGCAGGTGAAACGCAATTTTTTGTGAAAAATGCGTGTCGCCGACTGACCAGTAATTTCGCCTGACGCAGATGCTGGTTGAGAAAAATTTAAGAGTGCTTTTCACGTGACAAGCGGCGATTGTCCGTACATAGAGAGCTACCATACAGTACATGAGAACTATTTGAGGTGCTACGACTCGTACACTCAAACTAAGCACAAGAGTCTTGTAGTCTGTAGGGTACAGGGCCTAGGGGTACAGGGCCTAGGGGTACAGGGCCTAGGGGTACAGGGCCTAGGGGTACAGGGCCTAGGGGTACAGGGCCTAGGGTACAGGGCCTAGGGTACAGGGCCTAGGGGTACAGGGCCTAGGGGTACAGGGCCTAGGGGTCCAGGGCCTAGGGGTACAGGGCCTAGGGGTACAGGCCCTGGGGGTACAGGGCCTAGGGGTACAGGGCCTAGGGGTACAGGGCCTAGGGGTACAGGTACGACGCGCCGATCAACGCTGGAAAAATCTCCAAGTTTTGAAACGTTTTTATTGCTTTTCTGAGAGTTTCACGGTGACCACCGGTCACCAGAAGTGGTACGGCCATGGTTGTACCAGTCGTACCGACTCCAACGGCACTGCTAACCCTCGTCCAATCCCCTTCAAAAATTATATACATGATCGTCCAGTACACACGAACAATTTACAGTAAAAACCAATTTTGAAAGCCTGGCCTAAAGGTCTGTTTTTGCTGATCATGGCTCATATTTCAGTTTCTCCAAATTAACGAAAATCGACTTTAGTCACAATAGTGTGAAGATTTCGTATTTATCAATTTCCCATGCTCGATAATAGTCGAAAAAAAAAAAAAGTACGGTCCGTGCTCAAAGAGTTCAGAATAGAACATTGAAAACCTCGTTATTTTCCGCGAAATGTACTTCATTCTTTGTTTGGGTCTGCATCCTGTTTGAAATCATAGTCAAACAAAAAACTTGAAAAGCGAAATGCATTTCGCAGAAATGACGAGGTTTTCAACATTCTATTCTCAACACTGTATCTGCTTTCCTTTATTTCTCAACCATGCACTCTCTACTCCATACAAGGCAGCCTACTATCTGTGTACAGAACACAGTCTTTGCACAAGACTGGTCATGTTATTCAGCATGCATCGCACACCTCTCTACTCATACCAAAGGCATATTTGGCACATCATCTGTAGCAACTGCACCAGCATATCAGGCTCACACATAGCACAGAAGTAGGGGTGAAACGATTAGTTCGAATATTCGAGTAATCGCTTGAAAATTTCAAACGAGCGAGTATTCGAAATTTTGCACCAGATTTAATTTTAATTTTTTAGAATTGGCATTCTATTTTTCAAAAGCTGTTGTTGTACCGCTCGTCCACTGGTACATGGTGTGCATGCATTATGCATGCCTTTGAGTCAATATTTTATGACTTGGACAATGCGATCACCACAGCAAGTAAGGCCACACGTTTATATTTCTATGTTTCTCGTCACCTGAAAATCCAAAAACGTATGTGAGGTGGAAAAATAAAAATAAAGTTTATTACACCTTTGGACACATTAAAATCCACCAATACACCATGCAAAATAGCATCCAGTCAGCAACTAGTATGTGGAAGGAGCTTCTGTCACAATCTGTGAATGTGCAGCTAGACTGCACACAAAAAATGGCGACCTCGCATCATGTGTCGCGCAGGCCAGGCCACATTAGTGAGGTTCTGCCACACGGTAAAACGTGCCAAAGTACGTATGGAAACTTCGCCGCGGTACGGGATCAAGTTTCATACGGATTTTTCATACCGTTTTCCGTGTGAAGCACGCTTCATACGGACTGGACTCCGTGTGAAAACTGAGCGTACAGAGTACATGTGACGAGGTGTTCGTGCATGCTACGAGCATGCTACATACAGCAGAACCGGTGCAACGTACGAAAAATCCGTGTCAAACTTCACTGCAGTTGACACGGAGTTTGGTACGTAGGTCCGTGTAGCAGAACCTCTCTATTATGTACATGTGCATGAGTGTGCTGGTCCCCACATGCACAGTCAGTGCAGCACAGTTTTTTTTTCTTTTTTCTTCCAGACTCCTGAATCATATGCGCGCGGGTGACGAGAAACATAGATATAAAAACGTGTGGCCTAACGTTAGTTAGTTATGAAGTACGGATGAAAATCGGTACTGTACACTCTGTGCAAGAAGTTGGCGACTTTTGTTCTATGTTCACAGATAATTTCTTCCGAATCGGTCAAGAACTCACTAATCTAGCGCTTTTGAGTTTTGAAAAAATACTCGAAATAATCGGATACTTGATCGAGTATTATGAATGAGTGATCGATTGGTCAAAATAGATACTCATTTCACCCGTACACAGAAGATAACAAAAGTAATAAAACGTACCTAGAGACGCCATTTTGTTTGTTGTCGGAGTTCAATATACTCTGACTGGAAGTATAAAACCATCAAAAAACATGAAGAACAACATGCACCCACACACGCAGACACCCATACATACACACACACACACACACACACACAAGCATACATGTACAAACACACGCACGCACACACACACACACTTATACTTGTACTTCCCTCACTGCCAAAATTGGTGACGTGGGTCTCCCCGGGAGAAAGGAGAGAGACTCAAAAGGGATCTTGGAAAGAGGACTCAATTGGCTATTGAACCGCCCAAGGGCCGACACCCCCCCCCCCCCCCCACACACACGCAAATCCCCAAACTATGGCCCGGTATGGGTGGACATGCGAATGATCTCACTTACGGGCACACCACACCTCAGTAAGTGGGTGAGGACAAGGTGCAGAAAAAGGATTGACGGCATCAGGGTATCCGTCCTGGGATCCAACTGCAGTTACCCCTGCCCCCAGTAAGGGGTAAAACTTGCTACTAGTGTGGGTGGCTAAACGAGAGAGCTTGGAAGCTCAGGGCCCTACGATATGCTTTGTTGCCTAACTCATCGTGCATGATATTAGAACTGATGTAATTGTTTTTTCCTTTGATAAGCTGCATCATTGTATTGCAAAAACGTTTCAATGAGTTACTGAAGTAACGTCTTCTGCATAGCTAGGGGACAGCGCTGACTCTGCCGATCATGGGCGTGCTGGAGCCGACGGCATGTCTGTCCTGACGTTTTCTGGGACCGGCGCTGACTCTGCCGATCACGGGTAATCTGGAGTCGACGGGATCTCTCTTCCGACGTTTCTTGTGACAGGCGCTGACTCGCCCGTTCACGCTTATTTTGGAGACGACGGGATCTCTCTTCCATAGTATATTTTTGCTAACGCATCCTATCACCTACTTGGTCCGCGTCAGCAATATTGTCGCTTAAATTTGAACTTACACTTTGGATATCAACGAGTGCACTTGAAGTGATAAAACTTGGTTCGATGGACGGTACGGTGTAGAATGACAACTAGCTATGAGGAATTTATTGTCCAAGGAAGGGTTCATACTTTTTTCGGTCCTCCTCATCGCTGCTCTCAGTGCTGGAGACAAATTGTTTTGCTCGGGTTCGACTCTCTGGCTTTTGCAAGCTCATCTCTCTTCCTCTCCGCCGCCTGGCTATTTTCTAAAGAGAAGTCGATCGTGATGGTCGCCTTCTCTATAGGACTTCGCGTGGGCAGCACGACAGCCTGTGTGGTTCAAATCAGGCGCCGCTCTTTGCAAGATTTTATTTTGAACGACAACGACGCGTACGGTACTTGCAAATCTCCACGGCGCACTGGATACTCCGAGTGTTGAGCTGGAGGTAAGGGAGCTGCGATCTCAGCTTGACGATCAATCCCTGAGGTGAGCCATCTCGGCCGTTAGCAAAATGGGGCTGATTCCGAGTAGCCGATTACTTTCTTGTGGCTTGCGCTGCTCTTGCCTGCACAGCGTAACAAGATAATCTATTTTGATGCGGCGCTGTATCAATCAGAATCACCCACCAATCGCTCTCGAAATCCACTCAAACTCTAGCTAGACCTTTCAGGTACTACTAGTAAACTAACTTACTAACCAAAATTGGGATGAAATGGGCTGCCAAGTGAGCATTGGCGACATACAAACAAAGCTGAAAGATAAGTGACAATATCGCTGACGCGGACCAAGTATTCGGCAACTAACGTCCATTCTACATTTATAATAATTCCTCCTCGTCTCCCTATTTCGTTCCTGAAAATTTCACTATACATCAGGGAGTCGTAGACATGATACGACGAATATTGTGGCCAGCTGTTTGTGGCCAGCTGTGTTTGATGGTACGGTACGGGACAGATACGGGAGCCAGCAAAATTTTGTGGCCAGCTGTTATGTAAAATCCTGTAGAGCCTTTAAAGTCACAGGTATGGGACAGATACGGGATAGCTCCAGGCGTGACATAAACAAACAAACACCAAACTAAAGCTGTCCGGACCCTGGCTAGCGCCAGACGTTACTGATGTAACGTCTTTTGCATAGCTACGGGAATAAGCTTCACTAGCACCAGTGATTACACAAGAGTTAATCTACAGTCCATTCAGAAAAAATGAACTTCTAGCTTTTGGCCATAAATGGGTCAAACGTTGAGTTTTTTTAGAATTTTTTTCTGCAATCCCATATGGAATCCTCTTCCAATTATGTTTCTGAAGTTTTTTTGTCCAAAAAGCAAGCCATAGCAAGAATAGGATTTCGGCCAGGTTTTGCCTCAAAAGCACTGAATTGGGAAAAACCATCAAAATCCAGGCCGTTTGACCCCGCCTGCAACAGTGCATTCTGCGGTTCGAACCCCAGTTCAGGCACCCTTTTTGGACCCTTTTTCAAATTTCAAAGTTCGCAGCACTGCACTGTGTACGATGAAATCACGAAAAATCGCCAAATACGGGAGCTCGCCAGAGCCAGGACCCATCTTTTTATGAACGGACTGTAGCCAGAAACAGCCCATGGTTAACAGGTACACACACACACACATACACACTCACGAACACGCATCACACACACACACACACACACACACACACACATGTGCACACGCAGTACGCACGCACACGCACTCACACATAAGAACACACACACACAGAACGCGCACGCGCGAACACACACATGCACGCAGCACATGCACACACAGCACACAAACACGCACACCAAGCACACAAACACACACACACACACACACATTAGCTACAACATACGGCAGTTTGCGGTACGGAGGGAGCTGGCGAGCAAAGTGAGAGCCAAGAGGATAGTCACGTTGTCCGAGAGACGAAGACCGAGAGCCCTGCGCAGCCGGAAATGAGCATGGCAAACACACACACACACACATACCTTGACCTTTGACTTTTTGACGCCCATCGCCGGAGGCGATGATAGCAATGCTACGGCAGAAGCCATAGCAACTTGTGCTGGGATTGCACCGTTCAACAGCTTGCAAGGCTGAAGAATTGACCATCACTATTGAGCCTGGTCTACACCATACAGCTATTTGAAGTGACTTTTTCTGGCCAGTGAATCCCTATTTTTGGTCTTTTTAATTTTTTTCCCGCACACACATCACACCACACACTCCGGCATGCACTGGCTGTTGGTAACCATCCAGGAGAATGAAAGAAAAGTCAGGAAGAATCTGAGAAAGAGAAGAAAGACGTGTGTGACCATAATCGTCGGGAATCGAACCCGCAACCTATCGATTGGAAATCGCTGCACATACCACAGCACCATATGGGACGCACACATGCACACACATACACACAGACACACACAATTAACTACAACACATAGTAGCTTGCGGTACGGATGGTGCTGGACAGCGAAGTGAGAGGCTACGGAGAGAGCAGGATCTTGGCGGAGCCAAGAGGATAGTCTTGTCTGAGGGACGAAGACCGAGAGCCCTGAGCAGCCGGAAGTGAGCATGGCAAATACCCGTTTACTGTAAACCGCCCAATATTCGCGTCAAATTTTTTTTGCGAATTCTTAGAACCAGCGAGTTTGCGATAGCAAAAGTTTGCGAAGCACTGGGGTCACATACATACACCCACAGTTTGCACATGCACACAGCACAGCACACACACACACATGCACAGAGCACACACAAACAGCACACAAACACACACACACACACATGAACACACACACACAAACACACACACACACACACATGAACACACACACACACACACACACACAAATTAACTACAACATACAGTAGCATGCGGTACGGAGGGTGCTGGCCAGCGAAGTGAGAGACTACGGAGAGACCAGGATCTTGGCGGAGCCAAGAGGATAGTCACGTCCGAGGGACGAAGACCGACGGCCCTCAGTAGCCGGAAATGAGCATGGCCAACAACCATTTATTTAATTTATCAAAGAAAATGAGAGATCAGAAATGGGAGGTGGGTGGGTGAAACTCAAAGATCCGACAAAATTGATTCACACACAGAACGGATCAAAGTAATATATAATAAACTAGGCAAACTTATAAAGCATGCCACATTGAGTGCCCACGACGCATGCCACCGGCGTTGAGCGTCGCGCAAGAATGAATGAATGCCACGTTGAGTGTCACGTTGCATGGCACGTAGAATGCCATGACGCATAGAGTACCATGTGAGCATGCACCAAGACGTTTGTCCGACATGGTTACCGTGATGAACAGTGCACGTGACTGTAGCCAGCAGCAAAGCATGAGCATGCAGTAAAAGTGCTAGCAATCATAGCAGCATAGTTTGAGTGGTAGCACGAAGCAGCCGCGTGCACCCATTAATCTGCATTATTACTATAATGCTACACAACCAAACTCATACACATACACACAGCACACACACACGCGAGCACACACACACAAACATACACACACGCACACACACAGCACATAAACAGCACACACACATACACAGAGCACACACAAACAGCACACAAACACAAACAGCACACAAACACACACACACACACACACACGAACACACACACACACACTAACTACAACATACAGCAGCTTGCGGTACATAGGATGCTGGCCAGCGAAGTGAGATACTACGGAGAGAGCAGGATCTTTGCGAAGCCAAGAGGATAGTCACGTCCGAGGGTGAAGACTGAGGGCACTCAGTAGCCGGAAATGAGCATGGCCAACACCCGTTTATTTAATTTATCAAGGTAAATGAGAGATCAGAAATGGGAGGTGGGTGGGTGAAACGCAGCGATCTGACAAGAGTGATCCACACACAGAACGGATCGAAAATTAATAATATAGAATAATATATCGTAAAGTCGTGGATAAAAGCCGGGCTTATACGCATAGAAGCCGGGCTTATACGCATAGAAGCCGCTTTCTGCACATCAGGCTTGTCTGCAAACCATGCTTATATGCACCACCGATATTTTTGCCAGGCTTGTAATTTAAAATAATATGCACATCTTCTACGCGCAACACGCGTAGATCTACCACTGACTGCTGGTATGGCGGCAGTTTTACTATGCACCGTACATATCGCATGCACTCTTGACTTACCCGATCCGCGCTTGCATAGAACTTATTAGAAGCCAGTCTTCTGCGCGCGACAGGCTTATATGCATTTGACCCGTTTGATTTTCAGGCTTCTATCCGCGATGTGCTTGTATGCAAACCCGGCTTTTATCCGCGACTTTGCGGTAGGCAAACTTGAGCATGCCACGTTGAGTGCCCACGACGCATGCCGCCTACGTTGAGCGTGGCGCATGAATGCATGAATGTCACGTTGCGTGTCACGTTGCATGACACGTACAGTTGTGGCAAGTGAATTCCGACAATTGCCATAGGGGACAGCGCCACAAATGAACATCTGATCATCAATGGAGTAATGCACTGCACCTAATTTGTACTATAGAGCCGTATGCATCCCAAACAGATCGAAAGGTCACAGCATAGATACACACAGTTCACAAACATGGTACACATAAGGAGTATTGGTATCCAATCCCCATTCATTTTTGCCAGCACCTTTTGAACCTTGACTGTGATGAGTACGAGTTTTGGCATCAGACAGATAAAGTTGTATGTAACACATGTACTGTACGTATGCAGGGCAGCAAAGCATAAGCCTGCAGTAAAAGCGCTAGCAATCATAACAGCATAGTGGCAGCAGGAAGCAGCCGCGTGCACCCATCAATCTGCAGTATTACTATAATGCTGCACACACACACACACACACACACACACACACACACACACACACACACACGCACACGCATACATACACGCAAAACCCGCACCCACGCACACGTTAGACGTCCAAAAACACATTTCACCACGTTTCAAAGCTTTTCCTGCGCCAACAACGTTTCCTCCGCTTTACAAACTAACAATACGGATGTCTCAAACACACGCTCCAAGCACACGGCCTATTTCCGAAAGCAGAACAAAAAAACAATGGTGCCTGATTGAAACAACAGCAACGCTCTTGATAACCACATGACTACATTCAAAGTGTTATACTGTACTGGGTCTCTTGTACTGCTAAGGGTGACTTGAGGAGTGACAACATTGAAAGTGTTATACTGCACTGGGTCTCTTGTACTGCTAAGGGTGACTTGAGGAGTGACAACATTGAAAGTGTTATACTGTACTGGGTCTCTTGTACTGCTAAGTGTGACTTGAGGAGTGACAGCATTGGAAGTGTTATACTGTACTGGATCTCTTGTACTGCTAAGGGTGACTTGAGGAGTGACAACATTGAAAGTGTTATACTGTACTGGGTCTCTTGTACTGCTAAGGGTGACTCGAGGAGTGACAACATTGAAAGTGTTATACTGTACTGGGTCTCTTGTACTTCTAAGGGTGAAATGAGGCGACCAGAATGATTATGTGTGTACAAATATGTTCGTATCTCCACTTCTAAACACAGGATAGTTACAAAGGACCGCTCTACGCGTTCAGGAAGACCTTGGCTATCGACTCATCACATCGTTTTGTGTCAAGGAATATAGATGTCGCCAGAGCGAAGCCTGAAGTGCGCCACTCGGACAAATAATCGTCACGAGTAGAAAACATGTCATGAAGTATGAGCATCGCTGTTATCTATTTTGTCACGGCAATCCGCGCGTATTGGCAATCACAACATCGAGATTCTCAGTGGCTTTCAGGTCAACTTTATCCGCGCTGAAAGTTGACTGTGCTGCACTCGATCGAGCGCGTGGGAAAGCGCAAATACTACGATAATGCAGAGCACGAACTTCAATCAGACATCCTCGCAAGAAGACAATTTTCGCTGCATCTTCGCTTCATAGTTGTCTACCTGGTCTTGATATCTTTCCGCAGAGCCAAATTTTGTAAAGATCCGTGGAGGTCTAGCTGAGTTATGACACATTGATTCCCGCTCAATGGCACTTCGAGGGTTAAACACGAGTACATGACAAGCAACGAAAACAGGCAGTGAAACCAGCCAGCAGACTGACAACACATTGTTATTTGCTCAAGCTCACAAATTCTTCTCGTGCTTTTCCCCCGCTGGTAAAGATTTGAAATCTAGAACAATCGTCTATAAACATTTCAAGCAAGAGTACATAAACCAGAGTGTGCACCTCCGTGAAACCAATCTCACAACGAAGTGAAGCATGGAAAGAAGAAGCGCCTTCATGTTATTGGCCCTAGTTCCCGTTTAACTGAATCACCGAGGCGATGAAGAGAAGTTCGTGTGCGTGTTTCGTCTTTTGTACAACAAACAGCAATGCGCACCCGAAGAAAAACGTAGGTGATACGGGGAAATAGCCACGTGAACCTGCATGAGATGGAGCAAACGTTTTTTTTTCTTTATGAGCTAAACAACAGCACTTCGAGACGAGACGATTTCCCCCTCGGCATCACTCCCTGGATTACAAGTGACGACAATGCGCTGATCTTTTGAAAAGAAATAAGCAAGAAAGTCAACTGTATATACTAGATAGCAAGGGCGCGTTTGGTTGGTACGAACTAGAACAGAATACACCAGAACAGTGCGTTTGGTTGGGACTGCACCTGTTCTAGGTCGGCCCGAACATGTTCTGCTTGATCCGGCCTCGAGGCTGGAGCAGACCGAGCAGTTTCACTTTTTCACAGTGAAACCTGGCGGGAACATCGATTTTGGTCCCAAAGGATCGCGTGCATACGCTTTTGGGATGGACTCGTTGTACCGTACAAATTGACCATGGTGACCCATACACATTATGAAGAATGCACCAAGTTTGGCACATTTTTTTCACACAAATGTGCTCTGTTCCCGGAGTACCGTTTGATTGGCATGAGGCTGCTCCATGTGCACCAGCTGTTTGATCCTGTTCTAGATCGTACCAACCGAACGCACCCTAAGTGATTACGAGTTTCATACAGGTACAATGTAGTGTTTGGTGCAAGGAGTTTACATGTGTCAGCAATTTCCACTCCTAATATCACAATTCAATACTCTACTACAAGGAGCAATATGGAGTGGGGATGAGTCCCTTAAACAATTTGCTGACCCCAGGCGACCAGGACCCCGTGCGCCTACAGCCTCTTCCCAACACCCAGATACATGCTGATAGTTCTTGCAGACAGCGAGAACACATCAACACACGTCATATGGAATACAAGAATGACACCGGTATCAAAGCTCACACAGCCATGGAGCCACAAGGGCGTCGGAACCGCACCGGCCGGGACACCCATGGCCGCCCCACTTTTTCGGCCGTTTTTTTTAGCACACTGCAACAAAGCGCGATGATCTCAGCGCAAACGTGCCAAATCCTTGCCCCCGATCGTGGTTTGTTGCAGAAACAAAAGTCCATGTACACTGAAATGGCACCAAATACCTGGGAATACTTGCAATTGACTTCAATTTTAGAATTTTTTCCCGGGGGAGGGTAATGTTGTTCCCCGATCATATCATCTTCTTGTTTTTTTGCAGAACCAAAAAGTCTTTCATTGTAGTTACCGTATGAAAACCATCATGCTGTTTATTAATATTATGTATGGGTCATGAATGGCTCATGATGACCAATAACAACGGCATACAGGTCACATATTTTCAAATCCTATAATAATTATATAGGATTTTTTGCCAGCAAATTTAGGGCATGTTCGATAGTCCTTATGCACATTGTACAGATGTACGAAGTTCTGTACTAGGGCCGTAGGCGTGTACATACCCAGTTGGGTGTTCATTGTGTGCTATACATGCGTGTTTGACCCATTTAGCCTCATAATTCTCGGCGAACAATCACTTTTCCAGCTTCTTCACTTTGAGATTGAACCAACGACTCGCTAGATCACTGTCGAAAAAGTGTTCGTATGAAATGCCTTCAGGGCCCATTTCGCTGTGGAAATAGCAATAAACACAATAGGGTCCTGCACATTCAACACCCAACCGGGTCTACGGGATTCTACGGGATTTCGTGCATCTGTACAACGTGCATAAGGCCTATTGGTAAGGATCGGGATCAGGATCCAGATCTCAGATCCCACAGATCCTTCAGATTCAACTGAACACTTTGTTTTGGACCTTGACTCTTGCCATCATGCCATGGTGAAAATGGCGCTCACAAGGCACCCAAAAGGGTGAACGTCGTACTCATCGCGTGCATCGTACAACAAGTCAACAAGCTAGCTCCATCTACATCCACGTGTTCGTACCACAATGTGTACAAAAATGATTTTTACCCGCCATATATGCACAAAGGTCCCATTTAAATATTTGGATCCGTTGACCGGATCCAAATCCGAAGGATCCGGATCCGGATTCGACCAATCGAAAGGGTGCGAATCCAGTGGATCCGGTGGATCAGGATCCCGATCCTACCAATCGAACATGCCCTAAGAGATAGACTATGAGAAAGGGGACTAACCACAGCAGCAGAAACTCACCGGGAGGAAGACGGAGGCTAAGTTGACCAAAGTCAGCAAAGAGATCCAAAAAAGGTCTGCAAGCAGAGAAGAGAGACTGACTTATTGTAGCTAGAGACTGAACAACCATCGCCAGCACTTGATACTTCGTGGAAAACAGCACTCACCACACACACGTTTGGGAAATCAAGACCACCAGATTCAAGACCAACAGATTCAAGACCAACAGGTTCAAGACCAACAGATTGGCAAACTTGTTCTCCCCGCAAATACTGGTACCGTAAAATCCCGCCAGAGCGCCCCTCCCTGACTTCTTACCAGGGAGGTGATTGATTGTATCCTCGTACGACTCTGTTTTTTTGAACGTAGCATACAATTTTATAAAAGAATAATGTTGGCACCTATGTACGATGATGTACAGGGCAAGAGTACATGTACATGAAAACCAGAGTGTGCAGCTTGGGGCCTTTTCTGGCCCTGCGTTTTGTCGGGTCTGTACGACTCGTGGTTCTTGACCTTTGCCCGGTGTACGAGATACACGAACAGTTTTCGTAGGGTGAGTACTTTTTCATGATGTAGCACTGAATGTGGCTGTGTTTACATGAGAAATTTCAACCCGGGTCGAGTTCAGCCCGGGTTGAAAGTCTGTACGATAGACAAAAGAGGTGAGCGTTTACATGAAGACAGTTGACCGAAGGAATAAGTACTATGTTACCAAGGCCAACAAATTGTCCTGTTTGACCTTTTTTACACCTGTGAAGTAAAAGACAGTTGACCCGGATTAAATACTGATATGCCGCCAAAAGTCCACTTCTACACGAATCTACAGTTCCGTATAGTCACGTGAATCTGTTCGCGCGAAATTTGCATGTGCCAAAAAAAAAAAGATCTACTAGTGAGTGCGTGTGGTTCTTGTGAAGCTTTTGTGTTCAATTATATAATAATTATTATTTCAATTGAGTATTGAGTGTTTTAGTTATGTCCGAAAAAAATATATATACGTGAGCTCATGAGCTCAAGCTGGAAAAACAATTTGCATGTGCAGTGCCGTTCAAACCTGGCGCGCGCGGGATACGCACAGAAGTACGTTTGTTCGATTTTCGAGACCCGGGTTGATTTCAACCCTCCTCTTGGGTCCCCGGGTCAAGCGCAATGCGTCATGTAAACGCGCCATTCATTTTGTGCACATGGCGGGTTTAAATCTGATCCGGGATTTTTATTTATTTTTATTTTTATGGCGCAATACTCGTACAAGTCACCCGTGAAGTGTCAGACCAAGATGAACTCTAGTCAGACTAAACAAGTGTTGAAAGCAGTATTTTTTTATTTATATCCTCAAGAGGTGTGATTATTGTGAGGTTTTCTGTGAAATTTTAATTTTCAGCTATCACATTTCGTTAATTTCTTACTTTTTAGGCGGGGTCAATGGACTAGAACACAATACCTTTTTTAGAAAACTGCCATAAAGCAGTTTTTATTGCTATATTTTCTTTTGTTTTTTAGCTAAGGATATTATTATAATATTATTATAATAATAATAATTCGACGAGGAGACAATAATTTTAATATGGCAATAAGTAGGACGAGCTGAAGCGACATGTGGACTACTTTATTAACAATGTAAGCGATGAAGACGATGCAAGAAACAACCTAAAGGGTAAGGAAAAATACATGTTAGAAGAAAAAGGGCAATGGAAAAAAAAGATGATTCGAACAAGTTTTCGTACAACACTCTTCAGGAATCACCTTTGTACTAAAGAACAAAATGAGAACAAAGGAAATAATATAGCAATCAAGGTAGGGTGACACGTAACAATGACAGCACTGGAATATCGAGGTGCGATTTCTCACAAAAGTGTGCAGAAAACAAGGGTATAGAAGTAAGAACTAAGCGTGACAAGTGTGTATCAGCAACAAAAACAAAAAAGTGAGAACGAATGATAATAATAACAATAATAAACAAGAAGGTGACAAAACACATTTAGGCACAAGTGGCAACAACGTTGCCACACTACACAACAGAACACTATTTGAACAATTTTAGGGTAATAACACTATCTTTCTGGACACACAAATTCGGCTTATGAATGCGCTGAAAAACAGCTTCCAAAACTTGTAACTGCAAAAGATAACCATGACGAGCACGGCACAAAACAGAAAAACAGGAATCAGAATAAGTACGACAACAGTCAGTACTAGAAACCAAATGATTGTATACTGAAGACTTGTTTAGTTATTACGAGACGGACGCACACAATCTCGACTCACGCGCACACCCTCACACTCACTCTCACCCCCACTCAGCTCACCTTCTCCCTCACTGTCCGAATCAGAACCTGCTCCGTCATCCACCGCGGTTTGACCCTCCTCCTCACTTGCATCGTCCTGCGTCTCACCTTCACCACCCACGCCAACCGTGAATGCCATTGCCTTCACGTCAGTCGTCGTCCTTTCCGATTGTTTCCTTTGTATTTTTACCGTGAATTCATAGGTCCGGTTGTAATCTGCTGTAGATCTCCGTGGTCTGTCATTTGCTGCTTTGTTTTGTGGATTAGTTGTTGTTGTTGTTGTTGTTGTTGTTGGATGTGAAGCTGGTGTTGCTGTTGTTGCAGCCATGGTAGTTGGTCTTTCTGTTGAATCCAGCTCTGGTTCTGGTGTGACAAATCGACCGCCACGGGTGCTCCCCACCAACACAGACCTCGAAGGAGGAAGGTCAGGGGGAGGCAGCGGTGCTGTCACCACTCGAGGCACAGCCCCATGCAAAGCACCCAGAGGCACAGACTTAGGCACACCCGAGGGCTGCACAAACGGCGGTTCCGCACGCACCTCCAAAGAGCTGCCAAGCTCAAGCCCGTCCAACACAGATGTCAGAGGGGGAGCGGCAGACAGCAGCAGGGAACTATCCTGCCGTCTAAGTGATGGGTTTTTCCTAGGCCTCCCGCGTTTGGGCCTCTCAGATTGCGCACTGGGTGGAAGGATGTGAAGTGGAGTGTAGTGTTTGATACGTGCGAAGTCTATCGTCCGTCGTACTTATTATGCAGTACATTTTGTGCCAGTCTTCACAAGAATGCGTGCGTTCACGGTGTGGAAGGACGTCCTACCAACCCTCCACCTCAGTCATGTTATCTACAACTTCGAATGCCGACATTGTGCTAGTCGGTATGTTGGTAGGACTGTTCAGCACCTGAACGCACGTATCAAACAACACACTCCACTTCACATCCTTCCACCCAGTGCGCAATCTGAGAGGCCCAAACGCGGGAGGCCTAGGAAAAACCCATCACTTAGACGGCAGGATAGTTCCCTGCCGCTGTCTGCCGCTCCCCCTCTGACATCTGTTTTGGACGGGCTTGAGCTTGGCAGCTCTTTGGAGGTGCGTGCGGAACCGCCGTTGGTGCAGCCCTCGGGTGTGCCTAAGTCTGTGCCTCTGGGTGCTTTGCATGGGGCTGTGCCTCGAGTGGTGACAGCACCGCTGCATCCCCCTGACCCTCCTCCTTCGAGGTCTGTGTTGGTGGGGAGCACCCGTGGCGGTCGATTTGTCACACCAGAACCAGAGCTGGATTCAACAGAAAGACCAACAACCATGGCTGCAACAACAACACCAGCTTCACATCCAACAACAACACCAGGTTCACATCCAACAACAACAACAACTAATCCACAAAACAAAGCAGCAAATGACAGACCACGGAGATCTACAGCAGATTACAACCGGACCTATGAATTCACGGTAAAAATACAAAGGAAACAATCGGAAAGGACGACGACTGACGTGAAGGCAACGGCATTCACGGTTGGCGTGGGTGGTGAAGGTGAGACGCAGGACGATGCAAGTGAGGAGGAGGGTCAAACCGCGGTGGATGACGGAGCAGGTTCTGATTCGGACTGTGAGGGAGAAGGTGAGCTGAGTGGGGGTGAGAGTGAGTGTGAGGGTGTGCGCGTGAGTCGAGATTGTGTGCGTCCGTCTCGTAATAACAAGTCTTCAGTATACAATCATTTGGTTTCTAGTACTGACTGTTGTCGTACTTATTCTGATTCCTGTTTTTCTGTTTTGTGCCGTGCTCGTCATGGTTATGTTTTGCAGTTACAAGTTTTGGAAGCTGTTTGTCAGCGCATTCATAAGCCGAATTTGTGTGTCCAGAAAGATAGTGTTATTACCCTAAAATTGTTCAAATAGTGTTCTGTTGTGTAGTGTGGCAACGTTGTTGCCACTTGTGCCTAAATGTGTTTTGTCACCTTCTTGTTTATTATTGTTATTATTATCATCCGTTCTCACTTTTTTGTTTTTGTTGCTGATAAACACATGTCACGCTTAGTTCTTACTTGTATACCCTTGTTTTTTGCACACTTTTGTGAGAAATCGCACCTCGATATTCCAGTGCTGTCATTGTTACGTGTCACCCTACCTTGATTGCTATATTATCTCCTTTGTTCTCATTTTGTTCTTTAGTACAACGGAGATTCCTGAAGAGTGTTGTACGAAAACTTGTTCGAATCATCTTTTTTTCTATTGCCCTTTTTCTTCTTACATGTATTTTCCTTACCCTTTAGGTTGTTTCTTGCATCGTCTCCATCGCTTACATTGTTAACTGGTTTGAGGGAAAGAGACAAACGGGAAAGTCTGAAGAAAAAATTATAATAATAATAATAATAATAATAATAAATTATTATTGTTATTATATGGCAATAAGTAGGACGAGCTGAAGCGACATGTGAACTACTTTATTAACAATGTAAGCGATGGAGACGATGCAAGAAACAACCTAAAGGGTAAGGAAAAATACATATAAGAAGAAAAAGGGCAATGGAAAAAAAGATGATTCGAACAGGTTTTCGTACAACACTCTTCAGGAATCACCGTTGTACTAAAGAACAAAATGAGAACAAAGGAAATAATATAGCAATCAAGGTAGGGTGACACGTAACAATGACAGCACTGGAATATCGAGGTGCGATTTCTCACAAAAGTGTGCAGAAAACAAGGGTATACAAGTAAGAACTAAGCGTGACAAGTGTGTATCAGCAACAAAAACAAAAAAGTGAGAACGAATGATCATAATAACAATAATAAACAAGAATTTGACAAAACACATTTAGGCACAAGTGGCAACAACGTTGTCTCCCGTAAGAAGACCATAGGTCTGTGGGAAACACCCTAGTAAAATAAAAGTTAATAATAATAATGTGAAATGTCGGTTCAGCTCGTTCTATTGATCGCAATTCTAAAATAATAATAATAATAATAATAATAAATTATTATTATATGGCAATAA